CTGGGTTTGATTCCCCACTCCTCCACTTGCACCTGGCTGGATGACCTTGGGCAAGCCATTAGTTCTAGCACAGCTGTCCTTGAAAAAGAGCCGTTTCTGTCAGAGCTCTCTCAGCCCCACCTACCTCACAGGGTGCCTGTTGTGGGGAGGGGAATGGAAAGGAGTTTGTAAGCCGCTCTGAGACTTCCTTGGGTCGTGAAGGGTGGGGTATAAATCCAATCTCTTCTTCTTCTTCTTCATTGCCTGCCTCTGCGTAGCAGCCCTGGGCTTTCTTGGTAGTCTCCCGCCCAAATACTACCCAGGGCCGACCCTGCATAGCAGCCAAGATCTGATGAGGTTGGGTTCGCCTGGGCCAGGCATCCCCCTACCTTTATGAGCCTGCAGGCACTGTTGGAATTCTGACACAGTGTGGTGAGCACAGCCAAAGAAACGGGCAGGACAAAATGGCTACTGCAGGAGGCGCTGCCACCCACAGAATGGCCGCCATCAGTTCCCCTCCATCACACGGGAAAGATTCTTCTGCCGTGGCGGCAGCTGCCACCAAAGGAACAGGTTTATGCAGCTGCACAGCCAGTCAAATCTCCCAAGGCCAGTCATGAGCTTTGTTGGGCAAACGTCCCCTTTGGTTTCTTAAAAAACTTGTCGACAGGGCTCTTTTTTTGTAGAAAAAGCCCAGCAGGAACTCATTCGCATAACAGGTCACACCCAACAGCAGAAACATATTAGCATGTTAGGCCACACCCCCGACAGCACAGCTCATTAGCACATTAGGCCACACCCCCATGTTACCAGAAGTGTGGTCATCCAGCCACACCCACCTTTGGCTTCTTATTCTGTTGACCTTGTTTGTTGTCAAAACCCAGGCCTTTTTTTGTAGCAGGAACTCCTTTGCATGTTAGGCCACACACACCCTAATGTAGCCAATCCTAATGAGTTCCTGCTGTTGAGTGTGTCTTATTATGCTAATGAGTTCCTGCTGGGCGTGGCCAACTCGGGAGCCAGCCGGAACTCCGTTCCTGTGCGTTCCTGCCCCAAAATAGCCCTGCTTGTCAGGCACCAGGGGAGGTGTCCCTTGGGAACATGGTTGGGGACTCCTGCATAGGCCATCCAGGTCAGAGTAACCTATATTTTATAGTAATACTTCCCAAATGGTTCGTTTTGGGTCCAGCAGGACCTTAAGAACATAAGAACATCAGACCAGTGGTCTATCTAGTCCAGCCTCCTGTCTCACACAGTGGCCAACTAGTTCCTCTGGAGGGTCAACAACCAGGCAGAGAGGCTAAGGTCTTCTCCTGTTAAAAACATCAAAACAGCCCTGCTGGATCAGACCCAGTGGTCCATCTAGTCTAGCCTCCCATCTCACACAGTGGCCAACCAGTTTCCCTGGACCACCACCAACAGGCCTTCCCCTGAGAAGAACATCAGAAGAGCCCTGCTGGATCAGACCAGTGGTCCGTCTAGTCCAGCCTCCTGTCTTACACAGTGGCCAGCCAGTTCCTCTGGAGGGCCAGCAACAGGGCAGAGAGGCCGAGGCCTTCATAGGAATATCAGAAGAGCCCTGCTGGATCAGATCAGATGTCCCTCTAGTCCAGCACCCTGTCTCACACAGTGGCCAACCAGTTCCTCTGGATAGCCAAAAACAGGGCACAGGGGCTGAGGCCTTCCCCTGATAAGACCATCCAAAGAGCACTGCTGGATCAGACCAGAGGTCCCTCTAGTCCAGCGTCCTGTCTCACACAGTGGCCAACCAGACCTTCTGGACAGCCAACAACAGGGCACAGGGGCCGAGGCCTTCTCTTGATGTTGCCTCCTGGCTCTGGGATTCAGAAGATCCGTTGAGGTTCCCCTCAGTCACCGTGGCTAGTAGCCATGGACACACTTCTCCTCCATCAATCTATCCCGTCCCCTTTTCAAGCAGTTTATTCCTGTGGCCATCACTACATCCTCCGGCAGTGAACTCCACATTTTAATCACTCTCTGCATAAAGTTGTGTCTTTTTTTGGGACCATCCTGAACCTGCTGCCCATCAGCTTCAGTGGAGGCCCTCGAGGTCTAGTATTTGGGGAGAGGGGGGAGATGGTCTCTTTGTCATCCCTCTCCACCCCAAGCATGATTTTATAAGCCTCTATCATGTCCACCTTAAGTCGTCTCTTTTCTAAACTGAAAAGCCCCAGCCTCTTCAGCCTTTCCTCATAGGGGATGTACCAAGTAAATCTGGACTAGAGGGTGACCACACCGAGAAGACGAGGAACCACTGCTCTACTGCAGTATGCCCTGCTGAGAACCCACCACACTTCCTAAACTCCACCCCCACCCAAATCTCCAGGGATTTCCCAACCCAGGTCTGGCAAGCCTAGCCTGTTCAACAAACATTTTCCCAAATGGTCAACCTTCCACCAGAACCTATTTTCCAAAGAATTCCTCCTATCATTTCGTAGAAAAAGAGGTGCAGGAGCTCATTAGCATAACTCATTAGTATAACTTATTTGCATATGCCACACCCCCTGACCTCACCGGAAGTGTGTCAGAAGGCAACACCCACCGCTCAGGCTCCACTGGTCTCTTTTGGATTCCTAGCTATTGGCGGGCGGGAAACGTGCAGATCTGTCCTCACAGAGGAGGGAGAGCTTGTACCTGAATAAAACTTGGTCTTAAAGGTGTCACTGGATTGTTTTGGACCGGGGGGCCGGGGGGGGCCCTGCGACTTACCTGGCTGCTTCTTGCTCTGACTGAGGGCTGCTGGGAGCAGGGGGTGTGGCTTGTTGCATGTGCCCGACCCCTGGGCTCGTTACTGCCGGAGCTCCGCTCCTGTGCGCTCCTGCAGGAGATGACCCCTGCTCCTATCTCTGCTTTGGGAGAAGTCATCTAATGTCACTTACCCTGAACAGCCGAGAAGAAGTTGAAGTAGGTGGGACAGGACATCACTTTAATTTCACCCTCGCTTGCCGCCGGCCAGCAAGTGATGTTGTCAAACATACTCGGACAGCCTGTGGGAAGAAGTGAAGACTTTATGAAAATGGCAGAGGGAGGGGGGCTATGACAGACATCACGTGAAGCCGGGGGCCCAACGGACACTTATCCACCTCAGAGTGACAGAGAGCACTCAGTTATAAGGCAGAAGAAGGATGTTTCATCTCCCCATCACGCCTTTACATGCAGCTTTCCCAGGACACTAGAAGCCCTCCCCCCCAAGCACTAAGAGTACAGAGCGTCACTGGCCCCAGACAGAGTGTTCCATCTACTCCTTGTGGCTAATAGCCACTGATGGACCTCAGCTCCAGACGTTTCTCTGTTTGAGACTTAGTATTCATGCACACGCATTGACATGGATGTGTGTAACAGTGGAATCCGCTGCCCAGTGAGGTGTTGAGTTCCCCCTCACTGGCAGTCTTGAAGCAGCGTCTGGACAAACACTTGTCAGGGATGCTCTAGGGTGATCCCGCACTGGGCAGGGGGTGGGACTAGATGAGCTTTATGGCCCCTTCCAGCTCTGTGATTCGATGATTCTATGAAAACAGACAACCATCCATACATTTGACTTCTAGTGGCCCTGGAGGAGGGAGCTGAACCTTGAGTGATCATGCCGGCAACCAATCCTAGGATTTCCACAAGGCATCCCGGAAGGCAATATTAGGTACAAGCAGGGCTATTTTGGGGCAGGAACGCACAGGAACGGAGTTCCGGCTGGCTCCGGAGTTGGCCACGCCCAGCAGGAACTCATTAGCATAATAGGCCACACCCAACAGCAGGAACTCATTAGGATTGGCTACATTAGTGGTGTGTGGCCAAACATGCAAAGGAGTTCCTGCTACAAAAAAAGGCCCTGGGTTTTGACAACAAACAAGGTAAACAGAATAAGAAGCAAAAGGTGGGTGTGGCTGGATGACCACACTTCTGGTAACATGGGGGTGCGTCTTAATGTGCTAATGTGCTAATGAGCTGTGCTGGCAGGGGCGTGGCCTAATATGCTAATGAGTTCCTGGTGTTGGGTGTGGCCTATTATGCTAGTGAGTTCCTGCTGGGCTTTTTCTATAAAAAGAGCCCTGGGTACAAGGATCTCCCAGGAAACAGAACAGAGGAATCAGAACTTAGAAATAGCAGAGCATCTGTGCATGACATTCCATCACAAAATAAAACATGACGTCCAATTTCGTTTCGGATCTCAGAGCCGAGACCGCATAAACCACTTCTTAACGTCAAAACGGCGGACTGAGTTATCTTCCCTTCGTAGGTCAGAAAAGGAGTTTGTCTCAGATACAGAGCTGATGGATGTGAGTCATTCTAATGTAACAAAGAGGGGGAAATATATATTTTGCAAATGCTGTGGGAGTATTTCAACTTGCCTCATCTGAGATGGGCAGAGGCGTAAGAATGCACCCATGCATTTTATCTGACAAGAGAAAAAAACCTGACTGACTTACAGTGTATCTCCCCCTTCTCCCGAGTCCAAATGGTTTCTTTCATCCCCCCCCCCCAAGTCAAACAATCCAATAGACTGGAAAAGCCAAAAGACACAGAGCTCAACAATCAAAACAGCCTGACGGTCAGTCACTGAGGGATCCGTTCAGAGAGTAGAACATAAGAACGTAAGAGAAGCCAATGTTGGATCGGGCCAATGGCCCATCCCGTCCAACACTCTGTGTCACACAGTGGCCAAAAATACCAGGTGCCATCAGGAGGTCCACCAGTGGGGCCAGGACACAAGAAGCCCTCCCACTGTTGCCCCCTTCCCATGTACCAAGAATACAGAGCATCCCTTGCCCCAGACCGAGAATTCCTATCTATACCTTGTGGCTAATAGCTTCTAGCTGTAGGACCCAGGAACTTTACTCAGTCACTGTAACTACTTTTCAGAATAGCTGTTCTCCCCTGTACTGCAGCGCCACCATCTAAGATGGCCAGAGAACGGTACTGCAGTCATCAGCTCAGCAGGGATCATGTGACACAAAGGACCAATAGGGCTCTACCTGGTCCTACAAAGCTGCTGACTGCAGTTTGGTTCTTGAGTTTGGGCTACATTGGTGTTTCCCTGTTCAGAACGGCTTCCCTGTTCAGAACGGCTTTCCAAATGGATTATCTGCTTCGTGGGAAGCCTCCTGCTTCGTGGGTTGCCTCCATCTTTGATGCTCTTCCTACCAGTTCAGATAAGAAAGCATGCGCTTTAGGACAGAGTGAAATTATTGGGAGTTCCGTATGTTATGCAACAGGTTTGTGGGGTGTAGAAGTGGGCAGAGAGCGAACGTGGCGAGGAACGGACTGGGAGAAGGTCACCAAATCCACTTAGATAGCCTAGTGATATTTCAGATGCCAGCAGTTAAGTCCAAAAGAGTTATACTCCTCTAAGCCCGTTGACTTCGATGGACATAGAAGGGTGTAACTCTAAGCAATGGTATTCCCAGTAGTCATGTATGGCTGCGAGAGTTGGACTCTAAGGAAGGCCGAGCGCCGAAGAATAGATTCTTTTGAACTATGGTGCTGGAGAAGACTCTTGAGAGTCCCTTGGACTGCAAGAAGATCAAATCAGTCAATCCTCAAAGAAATCCACCCTGACTGTTCCCTGGAAGGCCAGATAATGAAACTGAAGCTCAAATACTTTGGCCACCCAATGAGAAGGGAGCACTCACTGGAGAAGACCCTGATGCTGGGAAAGACTGAAGGTCAAAGAAGACGGGGACCATTCCAATGGTGAAAGCAATGGTATTCCCAGTAGTCATGTATGGCTGTGAGAGTTGGACTACAGGGAAGGCTGAGCGCCGAAGAATAGATTCTTTTGAACTTTTTATGGTCAAAGCAATGGTATTCCCAGTAGTACTGTATGACTGCGAGAGCTGGACCATAAGGAAGGCCGAGCGCTGAAGAATGGATTCTTTTGAACTATGGTGCTGGAGAAGACTCTTGAGAGTCCCCTGGACTGCAAGAAGATCAAATCAGTCAATCCTAAGAGAAATCACCCCTGACTGTTCCCTGGAAGGCCAGATCCTGAAGCTGAAGCTCAAATACTTTGGCCACCAAAGGAGAAGGGAACACTCACTGGAGAAGACCCTGATGCCGGGAAAGATTGAAGCTCAAAGAAGACGGGGACAGCAAAGGATGAGATGGTTAGACAGTGTAATAGATGCAACGAACATGAAGTTGAGCAAACTTCAGAGGACGGTGGAAGACCAGAAGGCCTGGCATGATGCGGTCCATGGGGTCACGAAGATTCGGACTCGACTGTGTGACTGAACAACAACAACAAACTCCATTTAGGAGGTCACCACAGCAAAATGACACTGTTTGCCCAAAGCCAGAGCACTCCCCCAGAGCCTCTTTCTAGATCTCGTTGTATTTATTTCCACAACGGGCTTTACTGCTAATATATATATATATCACTGTTTATCGATATTTCAAAAATGTACAGAAACACAGAGATATCTTTGAAAATTACAAACGTTTACAACTTAGAATTAGGTTAGGTGTCAACTTATTGCACAAGTAGTAATGGTTAGCTAGTAACCACGATAAGAATAATGATAATGTCAGCAGCTCCCCTCATGGATCACTGCCTGGATGTGGTGAGGGGGCTTGCGTGGTTCGATGAGGCTGTGGGCTATGCCGTGGAGGGCCGCCCAGGATGGACAGGCCACAGCGGAGAACTCAGACCAAGTGTGATCTACTGGCGAAGGAAATGGCAATCCACTCCAGTATCTGTGCCAAGAAAACCCCATGGACAGTAACAGACAGCGTAATAAAAAGTAGAGGCATCACCCTTCCAACAAAAGTCCGTATGGTCAAAGCAATGGTATTCCCAGTAGTACTGTATGACTGCGAGAGCTGGACCATAAGGAAGGCCGAGCGCTGAAGAATGGATGCTTTCGAATTATGGTGCTGGAGAAGACTCTTGAGAGTCCCCTGGACAGTGAGGAAATGAAATCAGTCCATCCAAAAAGAAGTCAACCCTGACTGTTCCCTGGAAGGCCAGAGACTGAAGCTGAATACTTTGGCCACCCAATGAGAAGGGAGCCCTCACTGGAGAAGACCCTGATGCTGGGAAAGACTGAAGGTCAAAGAAGAAGGGGATGGCAAAGGATGAGATGGTTAGACAGTGTTATCGAGGCAACGAACATGAAATAGAGCACTTCCAGAAGTGATATCATCTCGCTGATGCCATGTGGGGGTGTCTGTTTGGGGGTGGGGTTTCCCCGGCAGCCAGCTGCAGGCCAGAGCCCACAAATGCGGGGATCCCCTGTCCCAACAAGGAAACATGCAAGCCTACTTATAGACTCGCCCCAGAAGTGACATCACATCATTCATACGACAGTGATTTTTTTTACGCATCCCCCACCACCACCTAGCAAGCAGTGGCGGGGGGGAAGGAGGTTGCTGGTGGAAGAACATGAGAAGAGACCTGCCGGATCAGACCAGTGGTCTCTCTAGTCCAGCATCCCATCTCACACAGTGGCCAACCAGTTCCTCTGGAGGGCCAACAACAGGGCAGAGAGGCTGAGGCCTTCCCCTGATAAGAACATCAGAAGAGCCCTGCTGGGTCAGACCAGTGGTCCATCTAGTCCAGCATCCAGTCTCACACAACGGCCAACCAGGCCAACAGCAGGGCATAGAGGCTGAGGCCTTCCCCTGATAAGAACATCAGAAGAGCCCTGATGGATCAGATCAGTGGTCCATCTAGTCCAGCATCCAGTGTCACACAATGGCCAACCAGTTCCTCTGGACGGCCAACAGCAGGGCATAGAGGCCAAGACCTTCCCCTGATAAGAACATCAGAAGAGCCCTGATGGATCAGATCAGTGGTCTATCTAGTCCAGCATCCAGTCTCACACAACGGCCAACCAGGCCAACAGCAGGGCATAGAGGCCAAGACCTTCCCCTGATAAGAACATCAGAAGAGCCCTGATGGATCAGATCAGTGGTCCATCTAGTCCAGCATCCAGTGTCACACAATGGCCAACCAGTTCCTCTGGACGGCCAACAGCAGTGCATAGAGGCTGAG